CACCCTCAAAATATAATAAATCATTCACGATGCACCCTGAATTGAATAATCAAGGCTTATATTTTATTGGAGATGCAAAATAAAAAATATATATTATTTTCTTCAACCTCCAACCTAATTTCGAGCGCACACAGTGCGAAAAAAAATATTGGATTATCTTACAAAATAAAATAAAATAAACTTTTATCACTAAATTATTAAATTGATGTATTTTTTTTTATTGTAACTAATAGAAATATTAAGTAAAAATATTTTGAAGAAAATATGATTTTCAGACAATAGCTTGATAACGAAATATGTATTTGTATTTATGCACTTTATAGTTTCAAAATAATTGATGAATAAAAAAAATTATTTGACATTAGTCATCCTAAAAACTGCCACAAAAATATTAAATTACATTTATTAGTTTTAAAAATTCATTCGGGTTGCATTATGCATGATTTATTATGTTTCGAGGGTGCAAAGTGCTATTAATTTATTTCGCGGGTGCAAAGTGCCAAAATGGTATATTTTAAGGGTACAAAGTGGAATTAAGCCTAAAAATCATGATCCGCGAGTTAAGGGATAGTGAATAAGGGAAATATTATTAAAAGCTTGTGGTAAAAATGGATTTAAAAAAACATAGTCCCTGCGACCAGTAATTAGAAGCTTCCGAAGTTCACGGAGGATCTCTAGCCAAAAGGGAGGTTCAAACAAAGAAAATCTTACGGTGGATAACTAAGCATCCATACAAGAGGAAATGCGTAGTAATTGATGAAAGGGATTCGACTTCAATCCTTCTGACTTTCACCATTAGTTTATAACATGCTACTAGAAGAAAGTAGCGATCAATGAACTTTCAATCCAATCGGGTATGCAAATCTACGATCATTTAAAGACATTGTTATTTTTCTTGCAATGGAAGATTAGGGTGGAGTATGAGAGCGTGTAATGACCGTAGAATTATTAGTACAAATTTTATGTCTAGTAACCATGGAGTATTAGCACGTTTATGGGTATCAATCATGACCCAAAGGCCTAAATTCCAATCACAATATTTTCTATCGACTTTTGTCCGAGTATAGAATATCATCTTTCCTAGATAATATTAGTAGAGATATTCACCGGCATACCCAAAAAGTTCTCTTTAGGCATAGTATAAGAAACATATCTATCGATTTTTTCCAACATTTTCTAGGCATTGTTCAGCACACATAACTTGTCTAGTCCGATTTACACCTGCAGTATTGTTTGCAGGCTAATACATATATGATTGTGGATTTTTTTGGAAAAAAATCATTATTATTTTGATTCACTGATACGATCAAATTAAAATCAAGATAGATTATATAACTATAAAATTATTATTTTAGAACCTATAATTTACTAATTCGTTTAATTTGATACACTCATATGTTTGATTATTTTACTCCATGTATAGACTCTATGTAGCACGGACAAGGAACCAGTGATACGGGGAAACATGGGAACCGACACAGAAAAACGGCATATCCAAAAAATCAGGATACTGAAGCTTGAGAGAAACGTGTAAATATTAAAATTATAAGGGTAATATTTATAAATATACTATATAAATATATATATAATTTTGTATTTATATATA